TACAACGAGAATATAAACATTGATAATTTAATTTATTAGTGAATAGGTTTGTATTTCTTTTGGTCATTGACCACTGTTTCCCCTTTGTATTTAGTATTATCCATTCATATCTACAAACAACTATGTAACCTTACGTCACATTCAGTCTTTCTTATTATTCTAATGATTTTAGTCCTATTTCATATATTATTCATAGATTGCTCAACTCTGTTTCATTTGAAGAAACGTCAATGATTATCAAGAATGATAAGAATAACTGGTAGAAAAGATAATGTACATACGAACTTGCATGTTTATTGAATAGAAAAGTCTTTTCTTGATGGCTAGAAAAAACATAGTTAGTGACAAATCAAACAAATAAGCTACTTAGGTCCTATTTTACTGGTTCTATAGTACTGTAGTGAACAAGAACACTAGTTGGGGACAATCGAATGTATCTCACTAAATTATGATAACCATGCAGTAAACAGTTTGCAAAATAACAATCAATTGTCTCAATATTAACTGTTCCTTCTGCAAATATCAGTTCGTCTTCTCTGATTTCAATGTTCATACATTTTCGTACCGATTGCGCTTCATTTCTGTTTTTTCCTTATCGATCTTCTGCCTAAATACTTTCTATGCCTGACAATCACCATATACTACTTATGTGGATATAAGTAGACCACAACCACAGTACGACTAAACAGTTAGGTAACTTGTTTACTTGCTATACTCTTATTCAATATAAAATAAATGACAGAAAGATTTTGATATTTTGTAGTCTTGAAGTCTAATGATGCGAAAAGATAACTCCTCTTAAACTCTTAGGTAATAATTTCTATCAATCATATAAGTTTAAAGCTAAGACCATAGACTTGATGAAAATATTCTTCAATCCGTTTGTATGTATGCTTGTTTAAGTTCCTTAATTTCATTACCATATCATACTTCATAAAATTAAATAAACGTTACAATTTATTGCATAACATCTAACAATATTTCCGAATACAATTGGTTTAACTGTGTTATTAAAATTCAACCAGTAGAAAATACTAGATGTTATTTAGTGATTGACTAGAGTATTGGAATCAATTCGTCACTTGATAAGTCCATACACTGTTAACATCTGTGAACATATCAATGGATGACATAAGTTTAAGCATCTGATAAATTGTAAGATTCACTCGATGACCATTTTAAGATCCCAATGACTTAAATATTGACCTATGATCGTACTTTTTGTACTACAAATATAAGTGTAACTGGCTTAAGAAAAGTGATTTTGGGCCACAGTACAGTAGTTTGAGCTGAATATCTGTCAAATAAATTGATGGGTTTATTTTAGTGGATAAATCTCAATTAGCCACATTAGTTTATCAGAAACTATACAACATTTACCAGAAGATATATCTGTCATAATGATACAACAACATTAAAAGGATTTGAGTTCAGTGATATGAGTAAGATTACTAGTCTTATTAAGTGTTTGATTAGTGAGATGATTATCTCACTTTTACAAATCTAACAGAGTATTATATATCATTTTCAAAGTTGATTGATATATATCATGCAGGTTTCCCATTTCCAATCACTTTTCTTCTAAATGTTAGCCATCATTTTGACATAAATATTCCTTCACCTTGGAGTAATTATATTTGTATGGAATGCTTATATCATTTTACACTAGACGTTCATTTACTTTTAGGTATTTTCAGTTTATGAGGTTGGGTACTTCAAAATTGCCATTATCACCCCACCCCCACCCCATTGTTCACAAAGATTTACAGAAATATGTATAAACTAACTCATTGAAAACACTGATACTAAACTGGGAGACAAACATACTAATTTTCATTACTTTTCATTGATCAATCTAATGATAATGGGTGATTAATTTTTTACAATTCATATTTGTACATTTTTCATTTGTGAATATTGTGACTGGATCTATAAGTGGATACTGGCCATTGGAAGCCGTAACTTGGAAGACGCAAGCAAGAATATGAAGATCTTAGAGGTTTTCAGAATATACTTTGATCAAAACAATTTTCAGATCTCATTTATTGTTGAATAATTGTATTTGTTTTTATTTTACCTAGATAACAGTAAATATAATCTGTTTTTAGGTAGGTAAGAAATTTTATTACCTTAATAAGATATTTGAAAAGTACATTCGCCTTTCAGATGATCAGGTCATATGAAAGAAAATTAAATTCTAATAAGTGTAGGCTCGTACTCTCTGTTCAGAGTAATACATTTCCGTACATAATTTAGCAGCTCTATCTGACTACTGAAGCCATAGTATGCAGTGTGATGTTTAGAACTGATAGTCGAATTCTCTCACTATTGAACTATTACTCTACAAGACTGATGATCGATCACAACTAATGGGAAGCAAACCAATTAAATTTAACACGTTCAACTTATCCTGTATATGACGAATTGATGAGTAATTACATGAATAAGATTCTTAACAAATAGAATGTTCAGTTTTGTAAAAATTCGATGCACTATATTTAAAAACGCTATTCTACTACTCATGTATTGTGTAATCAATTTCATCTACTAAGTCTTTCTCGTCAAAATCATTTTCTTAATTCCTATTATACTCATCAAAATTTCTCCATCTCTCTGTAAGTCTGTTTTCATCTTGATGCCATGTTTAATTTCTTTAATTTAAACAAAAAGCATACATGAATATAAGCTGAATATATTACACAGTGCATTTTTATATTATTCTGAAAAGCACAGTAAATATTTCATCTAACTAAAAAATAAATTTAAGGACAATCACAACAGTAGTTTGTGTATTTTCTACTCCCACTTTTCTTTGGACAAACAAAGCCGTAACCAGTTGAGTTCAGCTGTGTCTGTTGTAAGGCAGTAACTCACAGAAGACAATGGCGGGCGGTGGCGCAATTTCGTGGATTCGTTGAAGTTAGACATAAGCACCATTGGATGCCTACTCAGTGCTTTAGAGGTTAAGCGTTCGCGCGCGAGATCAAAAATCCTGTGTTCGAAACCCGTTTGTGGGATCGTGGATGAGCACTTCTGAGGAGTCCCGTGGTAAAACGAAACGACCCCCCAGTGTTTCCAGGCTTTCCATGGTGGTCTAGCTTTAATCTACTCGTGAATTCAACTATTAAATAAAAGGTAATTACAATACAGTTTGTTTATGAAATATATTAGGCTATAATGATATATGTTATGAGAACATAACTGGCCTTAAACTTGAAAGGATAAATATAGATGAGAGCTAGTCACTGTTTAACAACATCTCATACATATTTTTTGAATATTGACATGTTAGATACTTACAAAACGGGAAATTTGTTATAATATTTCATAGTTTATCCTGAGAATGCGTTACTGTAATCAAGCTTATAATATTAAATACGATAACATAATTATATCTATTCGTTACATAAGTTTACTATCTCTGGGATGCAGGTACATCCAGCTGACAAGTCCCAAATAGGACGAAACGCGCGTTTTAGATTCCACTGCGAACCACTACTCATCAATTCTTAAATCATTCCATTCTGATGATTTAATTAGATCATAACAATTAAATCATAGAAACTAGATGTAAGTTGGATATCTGCAAATTTACTGATTTCGTTTTGACCATATGTTTCAAATTAAGAATGAATATTATTTCAACATTTTTAGCCTGTTTCATTTATTAAAAGTTAAGGAAGAATACGGATATATCTATCTTTCATTAACTGGTTTTATTAGTAATTAGAAAATGCAATTGGATAATATCTAAATATGACATCTAACTTATGATTTGGTTAACAAAATTTTCCATATGTTAGGTTAAAAATCATATTAAATAGATACTCTATAAACTGCCGTCCTTAACTAGAATACTTAATCCTTCAACTTTAATTTAGTTTACTCTCTAATCAAACACCAATTTTTAAACATGTGTTTCATTTATCCTGTAAACCTTGTTACAAACGGTAGAACCTCAATTCTGAGAGATTTATGTAAAATACCAAACAATAGATATGATCTAAAAGAAATATTGAGATGTATAACAGCAAATATTTGAACAACTAACTCATTGATGTCTTTATTAAAGCTGAATAATGGCTAGGATCGGAATGTAGGTTACACGATTTGATCTATTTGAGATTCGTCAGTTGGATATACCTGGATCCTAACATTAGTTTTAACATCGAAACTAATCTAGTAACTGCAGCTTCAAACATCAATGCTTAACTCTCTACGTTACTAAATTAAAATATCCATTATCTAATACAACAGACCTACTATCAGTACAAACCTTTATAAATGACTTATTCATAACCCAAAAGAAAGTGAAGTTCAAAATAAGATATGCACTACTAAAATTTAGCATTTTTCATTTTAAACTGTATAATAAAGATAATATCAAGCCTTCTAGGAACACATACAACAAGGAAAGAATATAATAAGAATATTTACAATGAATTATCTCATCGGATCCTTTAATTTTACGTGGAATATTTCTAGTCCCTATGTAAGGAAATGAACTTGATATAAGCAAAGATAGATAGTGGCTAGCAGTGGAATCCAGGACGCGCGTTTGAACTTGATATAGTTTAATTGTATTCATTTGAAATATTTCAGTTAATTAGAAAAAGACATATTATATGACTAGACAGTACTACAAACTTCAATTGTATGTGTAAATCTTGAATTTTCATAATAAGAAGTCACTGCATTCATCTCATTATCTTTTCGTCTACTTAACTTCGGTTAGTTTATATTTTATAAGTAGCTTTAATGATCAATTCTCAACTCTTAGGTTCAAAGATACTTGGGTCCAAATATCTGGCTAGTATTCATAAATATATCTCATCAACTAGTCATTCCTGGACGCTGTTCTTTAATAATACCAGACAATAACATTATGTTGTATGCTCTCGGAAAAACACTACAACTCATATATTTGTATAGAATTCATTTCCTTTAAAATTATATATGATCAAAGTTTCCATTAATTTTGATAATATATTAACACTTACCATTTATAAATGAATTTGGAGATGAATTAGCTAATGGATAATCATTTTTAAATTGATTTAAATAAATATCTTTTTCATCATTATTATAATCTTTTATATTAGATTTGATTGTACATGATTTTAATAATACAGTATTTTGTGTACTACTACTTAAATTATTTAAAGTAGTAGTCATTATAGATTCTGTTGAAAATATTCCATTTTTATTTTCATTATAAATAACTTGATTGAAAATTGATTTATGATTACATTTAGAATTTGGATCATATAAATTAAATATTTGATTCATTTTTTTTTTAAAAATTGTAATTTCTATTGTGTTTAAAAGGTAATTTGCTTTTCTTTTTTTTATAATTAATTTACATATTAATTTTGTCCAAAAAAAGAGAAAAGAAAAGAAAAAGAAAACTTGAAAGAAAAATCAGCTATTCAACTTTGAATTAAGAAAATTGGGTTAGATACTATATGTGAACTATATGTGATAAATTTTTTAAAAGATACGAAAAACAAAAAAAAAGAATATTAAATTAACCAATCAACATTTAGAAACAAGTATTTAATTCTGATTGGTTATTTTTATTGTTCATCCCTATATGTATATATGGATAGATGTTTATTAAAATATATATATATATATATATCAATCTATCTATATATATATATAGGAAATTTCTTATTCTATTAATCTATTATTGAAAGGGGAGAATAATAATATTCGAATGAAAATAATGATATGAAAATAATTATAATACTATTAAGAAAACTATGTAGGGTGTTAAATAAAAGAGACAGGGGAATGATCAATTTATGTTAGAAATAATGAAAAGAAGGTTTGAATATAATAATATTTAAAAATACTTTTAGATAAAATGTTAAGTAAACGTGAATTTTGTAAAATTTCGAATAAATAAAATTCGTGGATTATGGATGTATAATGTTGAGGAGTACCACAATGAGACGAAATGGATATCCAGCGTTTACAGGTTTTCCATAATGGTCTAGCTTCAATTGAATCATGATCTCAACTATTAAAATTATTATGATATCTACAAAAACCACTTCTGAAATAAGATTCAGTTGATTTCATTAGATCTTATAAATTACATTATAATAAACAGTTTGTTTAACAACTAAAGATTATGAACAACTGAAATACAAAAGTTAAATTCTTAGTAGCGTTATTCTTTATGAAAACAATATCTTGATTAACGTCAAATAAGAAAGATTAGGTCAGTGAAGAGTTAGTTTTTGGCGAATTCATTTTCAAAACTGTACAATCACAAATATATATACTTAATTTTTCAAGATGATAATAACTATAATAATAATGACGATGAACTTTGATTAGACATGGTCACAGGGAGGTAGAATAAACAAAGGTATTAAAAAAAGTTTTTTTTATAAATATAAACAGGAAAACTAATAATTGTTTGATTGGTAATGTTTTAAATATTCATCAAAAGATAGATAGGGAAATTATCATTGAGAAAGGATGGTTCAGCAACGTTTCAAATTGTATTCACTAGGCGATCATTGTTCCTTAAGGGTAAATTATCTCATCTGATCAACTCAATGTGGATTTACCAATCTACCCTCTTATATGAAGCCAGGTATATAGGTCATTTGATGAGTACTTTATCCAAAACAATTCAAGAATATTATCCAGTGTACCTAAGAAGGGGAGGAAACGGTTCAATAAGAAGTTCACTAATCGAACATCTTATGAACACAGGTCCCACAATCAAGATATACTCTGAGTTCAAAGTCATCTACAACATAAGTAGAAGTTTTCTAAAGACAATTATATTTTATTCTCTTAACAAAGCCGAAGCAATAGCCATAAATCTGGGAAAACCGGAATTGTATGTCCGAAATGATTGGTACAACCTCTTCTTCTACCGTGGTCTTAATATCTTATATTTTTCTTTTTCATACTCTTCTTCCTTTATAGCCATCTGCTTTGCCTTCCATCTTCTCCTTAATTCTCTCACTGCCAGCTCGTTTATTTCTGTTTCTACAATCCTCCCGATTACATTTCATATCAATTTTAACGTTTTATCTTATCATGCTGAGCCATCCTTTCCCAATTATAATTTCCCTATCTATCTTTTGATGAATGTTTAAACCATTAACAATCAAACGATTATTAGTTTCCCTGTTCATATTTATAAAGGATTTCTTTAATACCTTTGTTTATTCCAGCTCACTGTTACAATGTTTAATAAAAGTCTGTTATCATTATTATTGTAATTATTACCATCTTGAAAAAATAAGTATATATTTGTGATTGTACAGTTTTGAAAATGAATTCACCGAAAGCAAACTCTCCACTAAAACAATCTTTCTTATTTGATGTCCTAATGGGTGTATTCCGTCTACTACAAATAATGTGTTATTTCCACTAGTGTTCTTTATTTCCTGTAAAAAGTCATAAAGAAATTGTTTCCATAGTATTTTAACATAAACTGATCGGTCGGTGCTCAATTTTAAAAACGTACTCAGGATTTATTAATCTTCAATAACTTGCTCTTCATTGGGTAAGAAAGTGTTATATCCCCTGGTGAATTATGAATGGTAACTCTGAAGACTAGTTATGGACCAATGTAATATGTATATTTCCTATTGTACAATTGTTAAGTAACTAACCTATTCATATTCGTGTTCCTCTTATCATTAACTTTATTTTGACCTTTGACCTATTATTATACGAGTCTTGAGTTATCATCAGTCTATCAATTACATTCCCCCTATTCATAGCCACATTTGGCCAATTATTGTACAAATGTTATTTTCTATTTTATGGTACGATGTGGTCTGTTTGGTTGGTATATAAACCCCGTATGTTTGTGAATAATGATTCATATTGTCGAGACGGTTATTGGTGTTCTGGACTTAAGTGGCTGGGGTAGGCAGAAAGCGGGACTGACAAGTAATCAAGACTGCTCGTACGATTTTACGTATCATTGCTCCGATCGATAATTCGCTCTTCTCTCATTGGCGGGAATCAGCACGTTCGTATACTAAAGAGGGCACCCAGATAATCGATATAACAGAAAGTACAACAATGTACACTGAATGAATACTTTTTTGTTGTTATTATTTGAAGAGGGTTCATGATAACGTCTATTCTAAGCATTTTCAATTATTTTTCCTCAGACAAATTCATCTTTAACAATTATATTCGGTCATTATTTTCCTAGAAAAAAGGTTACTATTTGAAATTTAAACAGACATTCTTAAGTAAAACTTCATTCATGTTCAACTGTAAAATCTCATATGGCCAATAATTACATGAAAGAACTTTTTACCTTAGGTGATGAGAAATGGGAATTTTTCTGGAATTTACTGGTACCATTTTAGTATTAATGTCAATTACATTACCAGTAAGCCTATAATCATTTCACACTTATAGATTAGAATTTTATAAAAAGAAGGCTTATGAATCTATAATCCCTAATGAAAAACTAGATCCAGTAACATAATGTCAGCAAATTACTATCAAAAATTCATTATTCAAGTCCAAAATACAAGGATATGAATAAACTAAGTTGAATTCAGTTTCATGTTAGTGCATATATAGGTGAGAGGGAGTCCACTATATTTAATCTAGTAGTTCTCAAAGTTGATACAATTTATTTCCTGGGAAATACTGCATTTGCTTTCTTTCATTGTTGTGTCTTTTATTTGTATAGAATGGAATGAAGTGACTGTGTTAGTTTGTGGGGAACATTGACTCCTAAGGACTTTTAAATCCTTATAGGGTTTTTCATATATCATACGAAGATTGAGCTCTTAGTTTTCGGAAGCAATTTTGTTACTGTACTTTGACAAAGTTACTCAGGTAGCCACTTTTGTGGAAGACAAACGTGAAATGAATTTCTTCGACTTTTCAACCATTGGAAGGGTGCAATGAATTGTTGTTCCATATATCCGATAATGTACGAATGCTAACCTAGAGTCAGTGTCTTCTAGAACACAGTATACGAATATGATTTGTGGAAGATGACTGATTATTTTTCGTCTTTGCTTAGCTTGCTCGTGATGGATTAATGTAAATAGTCTAAGGCACTGAGATGATCGATTTGCTAATGGTTTTTACTTTGGATAATGTGGTTTGTTGGTAGTGTTCTTTGTTATATCAGAATGAAAACTAGAGGAACGATAACTCTCAAGACAAATTTATTGACTGTCATTATTATATTTATTCGTATTATTTGGTTGTTAAGTAACTAAATTATGATGTACACACATTTCCTTTATCACAAGCTTTTGAACAACCCATTAATTACTAATGTGTGACTTACTATTTACAGTAAGTTCTCAGTTTATTATTAACAGTTTCCCCTACTCACAGCCACTTTTGGCTTGGTTATGTGTGATTGTTATTTCTCAGTTTTTGTGTGATGTGTGTTGGATCCATTTTGAAAGTGAAAATCCCTCCATGCATACATTTGTGATTTCTTCCTTACATTTTCTTTATTTGTATATGTTGTTAACTTTTTTGATGCTAATTAAGACTGTAACGTTTAATTTTCTTGGTTTTACTATTGTTTTTTATTGAGTCTCTATGTTTCTTACTGAACTGTATCTAGTTTGTTTTAATTGCTATTATTCTGGCGGCTGCCATATTGACTGCTCGCTCTTTGATTGTGCGGTTTGATTTTGACTGGGATCGTGCATTTTTGGTTGTAATTTGGAGCACTTTCCCAGAAATTGAAACACTTTGTGTTATAAAACAGCCGATCAAACGGAATCTTACTTGATCTATCCAGGAGGAATAGAATAACACTCACCTTTTGATGTTTTCGGTAATTTTCATATATTTCTTACCAGTTCGCTATTCATTGTAATTTAGATTAAATATTTTGGTATCAATTGTCAGTTGAATAACTGGGTAGTAATATTTGTTTAGGTAACTTTGTACATTCGTATATATAATGAAATTTAGAACCGTTATTACCCCAATCATTTTGTTCTGATATCGACTGGGGTTTGCGAGTCTCTTCACTTTTACTTACCAGTTATTCGGCCACATCCAGACCTATTGTAATCTAGGTTTGGATTTTATAATGTGGTCTGTTATACCTGTATATAAACTGCGTCTGCTTGAAATATAATATAACTGAGGCTTGTTACTGAGCTCTGGATGCAACATCAGAGTACAGGGATAAGCTAAAGAGTCGTGGAATAATACGGACTTAACAGTTGAATCAAGGTTGCTAGTTCTGGTTAAGCATGTAACTGGTCGACTTAGAGACATTAACTCATGAAAATCAGGATGTGGATTGGTGGTTTTGCCATGTGATTTCGGTTATCAGTCATTAGACATGATAGTGTTAGTGGAAAATTTCGTGTCGAACTTGATGGGGGTTTGCCTCGGTAATGATGATATTGCACAAACAGCGCATGAATATCATATCATGGATGTTGTCAGACTGAGAACTAGAGGTCGCTATTTAC